TGGCATGCAAATATACAACATAAAATTCAACGGAGATAGAATCATCTACGAACTCAGCCTCCAAGAAGCCGCGGCCACGTACGGCGGCTATTATCCAAACCCTTCCTGGAACAACTTCCTTGATGGTAACTTTAGAATGGGTATGAACAATTTTGAGTTAGTGCGAGGCGTAGATTGTCCCAATACCGCCACGTTCTTTGACCTAGTGCACATGATCGGGGCCCCAAAGCCGCTGACATTTCAGAACGCTGTCTGCGTGTTCGAGTTGAACACTGGAATGCCCTTGCGACGACATTATGATAACAATTTTATGGGGGGCTATCGGTTTTATGGTGGAATGGCTAACCAGGTTCTCGTTTTACGTTCAATAACCGCAGCTTACAACTATGATTATGTTTTCGACTTCATCTTTTACCAAAATGGTGTCATAGAAGTCAAGATTGCAGCGTCTGGTTATATCTTCGGTTCATTCTACGACTCTAATACTGATCCATACGGGTATACACTTTACGAACATTTCACTAGTGGCACACACGATCATCTTTTCAACTACAAGGTTGACTTAGACGTTGGTGGAAGAAAAAACTCTTATGAGACAATTGAGATCGGAATAGAAAATATCACAGAGCGGTGGTTTCCTAACAAACGGCGTGTCCAAAAGGTTCTAAAGCGCAGCGTCAAAAACACAGAGTTAGACGCCACTTATAAGTTTAACTTTGATACCCCAAAGTATCTGAATTTCTTCAATGATGCAGAGAAGAACAGGGTGGGCGTGAAGAAGGGGTATCGCATACAACTGGGAGGAATACTGAAACAATTGTATCCTGAAGACTGGATGATGGTACCCATGATGAGTTGGTCTCTTTACCAAATGGCTGTCACTAAATATAAAGAAAATGAGACGCAGAGTAGCTCCACCTACAACATGAACGCCCCTGCAGATCCACAGGTTAGTGAGGGGAAGCGCGAGTCAGAGATTGGAACGAGTCACCCAATGACTTACGGGCTGATGGCCTAACTTTAGGATCTTTAAAGGAAAGACATTTGAGTATTTACAAGAACAAGACAAAACACAGCATAAATTAATTTATTTTATCTTATTTCATTTTTTTAACACCTTTTTTATTGTAAATATTAGCCTTCCCCCTTTTTTTACTTTGTACTACTGTTTTTCTTTTTTTAATCTTGAAATATTTTATTTTATACCAGCTGTTTTTATACTCAGCTGATCAATTTTTCGCAGTATAAATAAAGTATTTATTATTATTATTATTATTATTATTATTATTATTATTATTATTCATGGCCTCTTTTCCCCCTCCCCCACAGGCACGGTCTATAGGATAAAGATTGATCTTCAATGTGATTCAATCCTCGCCATCATTGTTTTTCCTTCTTATATTACATCACAAAAGTCTTACAAAATTGCAAGGTTTGATATATACAATTAATGTTTATTTGTTTTTCATCCCCGCAGTTAGACTTCCGTCAATATCTTCTGGATAACGACTCCATCTTGAACGAGGATCTAGTTGCCTGGGTGACCGTCGGCGCGATTCATGTGCCACATTCAGAAGATCTTCCTAACACGGCGACAGCTGCCAACTCGGTCAACTTCTTCATCAGACCTTTCAATTACTTTGATGAAGATCCTTCTATTGGATCCACTGATGCCTTGCTGATCACACCTACAATGCAAGGTGGTCAAAAGGTGGAACGTTATGGTACTCCAGATGGTCCGCAATGTGTACCCAAGGAAAACAAACTTGATTATAATGGCACCTACTATGGATAAACCAGCACCGTAATTTTTAGGGAGTTATTATAACTCCAAAAATGGAGTAAAAATTTTAGGTACAGGATAACAACTTTTTGGGGGTTACTTTAACTCCTAATTTAACTCCGAATTTGGGGTATTTTTACTCCTGAAAAAGAGTTCTTTTTACTCCCAGTCTGGAGTTAAGTAACTTCGAAATGGGGTTATTTTTACTCCTTACATGGTTGTTTTTACTCTTTTTGGAGTTACTTTAACTCTGAAAAAGGAGTAAAACTTTTAGGTACTGGATAACTCCTTTTTGGGGGTTATTTTAACTCCTCAATATCTGGGGTCACTTTTACTCCTGAAAAAAGAATTCTTTAAACTCCTTTAGAGAAACTCCACGGTAAGGAGTTACATTCGCCCCACTAGAGGAGTTATTGTAACTCCTTGAAAATTACTGTGATATTAATTGACAGTGCGCCTTGTTTTTATTACTTCAAACAACTGTAGTGCGTTTAGTGTTAGATCACGAGATCAGCGTGAAGATGTTTCTTTCAAAACCAAGTTCTTTAAATATAGTGAGCCCGGCGTCATTGTCTTGCCACTAGGGTTGGTTACAGAGACCTTTCACTTAGTCTCGCAAATTGCTGAAATTATTTCAAGTTTCGCCAGTCTTCGATTTTGTCATGGTGATGCCCAACATGCTTTGCACGAGGGAGGTTAGTAGCGACTCGACGGTTTCTTGTTCTAAATGAGAAGCGAAACGATATAAGTTATATCCTCTTTTGCATTTTAATACACAGCCGGAATAACCCTGGTGAACCCTTTTGTTTGCGCAGATTGTTTCCGCAGTAATAAACGTGACCAACAATTGTCGTTTCAAGGAAAACCCTATTTACACGAACCAAGTCTTCCTTTTCAAGGAGGTTTTAGGACTTAGTCAAATGTGCTAGCAATTATGACTACAACTATGATTACTGAATATCTTTTGATAAGTTACCTACGATAGAACAAGATGAACCCTGGGTCCTCTCAGGATTTGGTCACATGATAGGTCACGTGATAAAAATCTAAAACTAAGAGCAATGGTGAAGTACTGGATGCCGATGAAAAATCAGGTTTGAAATGAGTGTACCCGAAATTTAAAACTATTGTTGTTAGTAGTAAAAGAATTGATTTTGTCCTGTAAAATTACATTTGTCATTTATCTACAATTACATTTGTTATTTATCTATAATTTTAACTTGACAACGTTTTAGTAAGAACAATTACAACACAGACTTTGTTAGACGGAACACTCACAGTAACACTGATTCCAACACTCAGACCAAAGTCAACTCTGGCCCTGTTACGACAGTGACTATACCGTACGTCAGAGGCACCTCTGAAACTATTGCACGTATATTACAACCTTACAATATACGTGTTGAACGCAAACCGATAACCACTTTACGACGACTGCTTACTAATGTAAAGGACAAAGACAAACCCGAGGACAGACAGGGAGCAGTATACAAGATCAAATGCTGCGACTGCCAGGCTTCTTACATTGGTGAAACTGCGGCAGAAACCTTAGTACTCGACTGACCGAACACAAACGAGCGACGAGGAATGGTGACGTTAACAATCACATTGCTGAACACCATTTACAGACGAAACATCAAATTGACTGGGACTCTGCGACATGTATAACGTATTCTACAGACTACTATCAACGACTTACTTTAGAAAGCTGGTTTACTAACTTACAACAAACGCCACTGAATCGTAGCCAACAGTAGCACCATACAAACGACTTATTGACGAGATCAAGCAAAACTAACTACGAGAAAACGACTGGAGAACTGACAATTTGACTAACAATGGACGACTGTTTAAAACGCACCAATTACTAATTACAAGTCTTCATGGCACACCCGGTTTCAGATACCTATAACCCATATAGGTATGTGCCGCCCCAAAGGGTAGGGTTTTTTTCTCGTTTTGGTCTGAAATCGGGTATGGATTTTGCCCATTTTGGTCTGGGATTGGGTATGGTTTTCAAGGGAACCACGGTACTGTATGAGCGTATTTATCTTTTCAGTTCCAAATAAGTAAGAAACGGAAAGAGAAATATGCGAATATATTTGAAATGGATTTTTTATAAGTCTTTTTTCGTTGCTGTTCTAATCTAAGTAATGATGACATAATTTCTTAGAGGTCAGGTCTGAAAATGGGTATGGATTTTACAGGCCAGGTCTAAAAACGGGTGTGGAAAATGACATTTATTCACAGACTGCTGGGTGGCACACCCCCACTAAGAATTCCCAGGAGTACCCCTGGGGGTGTGGACGTGTTACAGTATTATTCTTGTGCACTTATTCGCTCGATTGATCCTCGGTGCAATATAAATCAATTACAAAGATAAGAATATCCGGTCCTGTCACTTATCAACGTCAATGTCGTCTTTGCAGAACAAAGCATACGAAAACAATCAAAACTGATACAAAGCAGCCGGGCGGCTGAGTACCAACAGTTACGTGACTGAAGTCAGGTGTTTGTCCCTAGTATTGCTATAGCACCGTCAGTTTCCAGCTCTTGTTAAACCCATTGCTCCGCGTTTACGAGGCCGGTAAATTCAAGACGTTTTAGCGAAAACAATTCCAGACTTTTGCCTACGGTACTACTTAACTCCTTCCAGGTAGGTCAACAATCATTTACGACATTTGAATACCTTTACAGTCCATAATTTGCTTTGAAGACCTTTACACTTGGACACCTCTCCACAAGGATTCGATCTTCACGAAATTTCGCCGATATTCGTACCACGTACTCAGTAAACCAACATCAACAACGGCAATGGAAGCTATCGATGTGTACCAGCTGCAGCTAGCACCTACGACATATTATTATTATCCCGTATTATCTTAAGTTTGCATACTGTAATTTCATTTACGGTAGTCAAATAAAGCTTACTCACTATGTTGGACCCGCGATACTGAGAGGTGCGAGAGAGTTGGGTTGTTTGCGGTGAAAATTACAACCACTCGCAACATAAAATTTCTATCCTCACCCTATATTTTCATCTAATATATAAAGGGTTCTGACGTGTCAGAATTGTGATTCTTTTTAATACTTGAATTTGACCGGACTGAAGGGCAAATCGACATAATAACGAGCGATGTGAATGGATGTCTTCGAAAGATCTTTAAGAATTTTGATGTCCGCATGTTGCAAATTCCGGGTTGGCGTTACGGCGCTAGAGAGATAATATACTTAACAGCATGTAACAGCTTATGGTTTATTTATTAATTTTTGTTTTATTTTGCGTGACACTCAACTGAACATTTTGCGATCGGTAAAGACAGGTCTTTGCATGATAGTTACGTCCGTGTTTCAGAAAGCCTCCACTTACGTAAATGAGGCCAACTGGAAAACACTTCGGGTGAAAATAAGTTCCACTTGATTCCACTTTCATGATAGGAAGGTCACTTCCATATCAAAGGTTTCGCACTTACTTTACTCGATGGAATAGCTGTGATTTTCAAACCCTGCAATTGTCTGTGGCTTTTGAAAGGGAGAAGAGAAATCGGACGTGAATTCCCAATTTCCAACGCGTAAGCCACGCTCGCCACAATTGTCAGTAAGTTCCATACATGCTATTTAGTGTTGGGGGAGGTTCTCACTATATCAGGCTACCTTTAAAGGTAAGGAAAAAGAGATTCAGGAAAAGATAAAGGGTGTGAAGTCAGAGGAGGGAAAAGGAGGCTTTCTCTGCGTTCTCTCTCTTTCTTCGCTCTTTCTCCCCTTCAGTATAGAAAAATCTGATTGGAATGCTAGGGTTCTCTTTTGGTCCAGGGAGGCATAATTAACAGGAGGGCGAATTTTTTGGAAAATATTCCTTTAGGGGGAGGAGGGGTTGGAGGTGATCTGCAGTGCGATTGCTTGAACTCTAACCTGCCGTTTTATGTAGTCTCCCTTTCACTTTTCTTTCTTACACCATTAGGAAGAGGATTATACAATAGACATGGATCAATAGGGAGGGGAGGGAGGTGGTCTGCCATTGACGCTTCTTAGACCCAATGGCAAGCCTTTTTAACTGTAGTTTTATTCAGTTTTTTTTTCTTTTTTTTTATAATTTTAGTAAGAGGATTATTATGGAGTTGAACATGGATACAAGCGATCCTATGCTCAAGAAAAAATCAAGTCGTTCGAGTGTGCGGGCACCGGTCTTGAAATGGAAAGTACTGACTATAGTCTTCGTCGCGATTAGCGTTGTGCTGCTTATTGCTTTGATAGTAGTAGCTACAAGGCAGACCAAAGCTAAAGCAGGACCAAAGCAAAACAAAAGTCCAGATTACAGAAGGAATTCCTCTGTACCGTCATGCGCAGATGGAATGTCAAACCCTTCTGAGCCACCTACGTCCGCCGGTGTGTTTGATGACCTTACAGTCGAAGAAATTACCTCCGTTAGAGATTACCTTTTGATACAAGCTGAACTAAACCTCACCAGATATGATCAAGCTTCTATAGATAGCAACTACATCTATCTTGTACAGTTTCTCCCTCCCTCAAAAGATGAGGCTCTTGCATACCTTGATAGAGATGGTGCCAAGCCTGAAAGAAAAGCTATTGCGGTCGTATTTCACGGTGCTACTGACCCACCAATGGTAAGAGAATATGTCGTCTCTCCCGCCTCTAATCCAAACAAACACGACATCAGAATTATTCCTGGAAGACAGAGAGATTCCGTGCCCTTTAATGCTCGTCCGTTTGATGGCTATCTAGAGCTTACTGCCTTGTACCAGGCAGTTGTGAACAATGCCTCTAAAACTCTAAAAACGCTAATGCAAGAGAGTTATGATGGCTACTCCTTCACTGATTGTACCGAAAAGTGCCTTTCGACCATTTACACCGCACCAATGGGTTTTACGGGCGATGACCGATATACCTGGATTTTTTTCATCCGTCAGGTTACAGGCGAATACAGTCATACCCTTGATCTGCATTTGTTAATTGATCACTCAGGTGCAGATGTAAAAAAATGGAAAATCCTGCAAGTTATTTACAACAACCAAACTTTTGATTCTGTTGATGAGTTAGTCGACGAATACAAGAAAGGCACTATACGCAAAATCAAGATACCTTCACCTGTCGGAAAAGGCCCACTATTTTCAAGCTATGAACGCAGAGGAGACCCACAACCAGTCAAGCCTATGCGAGGCCCTGAATTGTATGAGCCTGACGGAAAACGGTACACTGTCAGTGGACGCCACGTTAACTACATGTCTTGGTCCTTTGATTTCAGAATGGACTCTAACAGTGGCATGCAAATATACGACATAAAATTCAACGGAGAAAGAATCATCTACGAACTCAGCCTTCAGGAAGCTGCAGCCACATATGCAGGCTACTATCCAAACCCTTCTTGGAACAATTTCCTCGATGGCAGCTGGAGAATGGGGATGAGCAGCTTTGAGTTGGTGCGAGGCGTGGATTGCCCAGATACTGCCACCTTCTTTGACCTAGTGCACATGAGCGGTGCAGATATTCCGCTGACATTTCACAACGCTGTCTGCCTGTTTGAGTTGAACACCGGAATGCCCCTGCGACGACATTATGATAACAATTTTATGGGAGGATACCGCTTCTATGGTGGAATGGCAGATCAAGTGCTCGTTTTACGCTCAATATCCACTGTGTACAACTACGATTACGTATTCGATTTCATCTTTTACCAAAACGGTGTCATAGAAGTCAAGATTTCAGCATCTGGTTATATCTTCGGTTCATTTTATGACTCTAACGCTGAGCCATACGGGTATAAGCTTTATGAACATTTCTTTAGTGGCACACACGATCACCTGATCAACTACAAGGTTGACTTAGACGTCGGTGGAAGAAAGAACTCTTATGAGACAATTGAGATCGGAATAGAAAATATCACAGAGCGGTGGTTTCCTTACAAACGGCGCGTCCAAAAGGTTCTAAAGCGCAGCGTCAAAAACACAGAGTTAGACGCCACTTATAAGTTTAACTTTGATACTCCAAAATATCTGAATTTCTTTAATGATGCGGAGAAGAACAGGGTGGGCGTGAAGAAGGGGTATCGCATCCAACTGGGAGGAATACTGAAACAATTGTATCCTGAAGACTGGATGATGGTACCCATGATGAGTTGGTCTCTTTACCAAATGGCTGTCACTAAATATAAAGAAAATGAGACGCAGAGCAGCTCCATCTACAACCAGCACGCCCCTACAGATCCACAGGTTAGTGAAGGGAACTGGAAGAGTGAGTAAGGCAGTAGCTTATCATCCTTGAGGGTGTATGTTCAGTAGTCTCAGACGACGCCTGGGTCACACAGTAAAAGAACATAACTTAGCTGTAAACTTGTTCTTACGCTTCGTGCAAACGGACGCAACAACTCCCAAAATTGTTGCGCCAAGAATGTTGCGTGTTGTTGCTTCTGTGTTGCAGTGGTGTGCAAACGAATGTTACAACTCCCAACAACAGGCAACAACATGCAACAGGAGTGCGAATGGACGCAACATGTAACATCTAGCCTGATGCTGGGTTTTGTTGGCCAGCAATGCTGCGTCCGTTTGGACGGGGCTTCAGAATGAAGATGATGTGAACCGCGGGCGTTAGAGAACACAACAAGTTATCTAGAAATAGACTAAAAGTCTTACGCGCCGTGACGTTACGTTGTGATGGTTTATTATTTCTTATAACCTTTAACGTGATTTGATTCTCGCCATCATCATTTATACTTCCGAAAACATTTTTTTAATCTCTTTTTCGATGGAAAGTTTGGTTTATATAATCTGTATATATATATATATATATTTTTTCAATCCCCACAGGTGGATTTCCGTCAGTATCTTTTGGATAACGACTCCATCTTGAACGAGGATCTAGTTGCCTGGGTAACCGTGGGTATGATGCATGTGCCACATTCAGAAGATCTTCCTAACACGGCGACAGCTGCTAACTCGGTTAACTTCTTCATTAGACCTTTCAATTACTTTGATGAAGATCCTTCCATTGGATCCACTAATGCCGTGCTGATCACGCCTACCACACAAGGCGGTCAAAAGGTGGAGCGTTATGGTACCGCAGATGGTCCCCAGTGTGTACCGAAAGAAAACAAACTTGATTTTAATGGCCGCTATATTCCTCAGTAATCTTGAGTTAACCCTGTAAGCCCCAATATCCACAAAGCAATTCTCCAAACTGATCTCCATACATTTCCTTAAAGAGGTAGTTGAGAGAATTTGATAAAAGATCAAACCATTTTCTCTTTAGCGATCATTTCATTAATTCTCATAACCTTATCTCTTGACAAGGTATGGACATCGTTAGGAGAAAATTGATCTTGGTCACCATTGGGGCTTAAAGAGTTAACGTCTTTTGTTTTTCAGTTCTGAATTTGCAAGTGTCTTGTTCAGTAACATTTTGTGTGCGCTTTGCATCGTTTCAGTTATCTTTTTCTAATTTTTTTCCGGAGGGGACTTTTTGTATCCGCATCACAATCTTGCAAAATTCGGGAGAACATTTGGTGGACGGCCCTGAAGAGAACACGACGGTGATGCAAAAGAGCCAAAGGAAATTCTTAACTCAGGGATTCCTTTCTTCTTGCTATTACGAATCACTGCTGACGGAACAGTGACGAACTTTGCCAAAACATGAGAAAACAAAGTAACTCGCTCAACTTTATTCTCTTGAAAAAAGTGTTAATTGATCATTCCACTTTTCTTAAGTACATTCTGAATACTTGTGTGTATTGTAGCGGAGACCGGACGCACTACGAGGGCTGTCGTCCTTGAGCTTGGCGCCTAAAAAATGTTTCTTCAAGTAAATTTTGATAAAGAAGTGCGGTTTAACCAAGGAAGTCAATAAGTGAAAAACTACGTTGACACATGTTTTCTGTGCAAAGGAAAAATAGGCCTATTTTTCACACAACCTCTGATCTGTTATTTAAAAGCTTCCGACCTTTTTGACGATTTGCACCTCCTCTTCGCCTTATTCCTGTTTGAGGTTTCCCCAGGTATGTGCCGGTTAAAAGTAAGAAGTCTGAGACCAAAAGTGTTCCAAGAACACAAGAAGCGTTGAAATTATGAATTAACACAAAGGCAACTGAGAAAAATCGTTAACGTTGATTTAAGAGCCACTGAGAAACGCAAGCTTTTCTTACAATTTTTCCTCGTTAAAGGAACCTGTCGATGAATAAGACTTTTTTTAAAATCGTTTTCCCGCAACATATCCCGTGATTTACGGTAAAGTTATTTATACTATACTCTTTATTTGGACGATGAAGTCTTTCCGTCTTCCAAACACATTGATTCAGTTCAGCCTCTTTGCCAAAGTTTTCACCAATAAAACGTTTTTTTCACCCAGTCTTGTTAAACTACTTGAGTTGTCGGGGAAACCGTTTGCCGGTGTAAATGAGGGATTGAATAAGAGGCACTGTTGTAAAGTTAATTTTTTAAATTAATTTCTCGTTCCTAAACAATAGATTTTTCTTTTACGAGGCTCGTGGATAAAACAGGTTCGAAAAGTTTGGCAGGGGTGCGATCGCTTGATCGATCATGAAGCGCGTTACAATTTACAAATGTGACTATCAACGTCAAAGCATAATTAACATTGTATAATAAAGCATATGAAAACAAAAGGATCTATCATGATATTCAATCGTATTGATAAAAGTGGCTGGATTCTGACAGTTGCGTGATTTTCAGGTCAAGCATTATCAAGTGTTTGTTTAAGACGCCTCACCTACAGTAACTTCCAGCTCTTGTTAGACCAATCGTTATCAACGAGCTGAAAATTCAGGCGTCTTTGTGAAATCCAGACCGTTGCCTAAAGTACTCCTAACTTCTTCCAGGTAGGTTTACAAACATTTACTACATTTGAATAACTTTACAGTCTAACTATCTTAATAACAAATACTAAGATAAACTCAATTTGCATGCTAATCTCTAGCGGCACTGAAAGGACCTCACGAAATGTCGCCATTGTGCTTACGGCCAAGCGACCATGGAATGCTACCTGCTTGCAGCAGATCAGTAGTACCCCCGGGATGCTGATTTAAGCTCAGGTCGCTGAAGAATCTTGCACGTAGTTTACGCTAAGTACACCCAACGTCTCAATACGTGATTTTTCATTACAGGAAAACAAGAGCCAATATTCGATAGGAATTAGTAATGCTTAGTACTTTTGTTCGCAGTGTAATTAAAAGGGTAATTTGACATTTGTCGGCTTACTTAAATGACGAATCGAATGGATGTCTGGGAAAAATCGTTGAGAACTTATGTTCGCATACCCCATAAATTCCGTGATCGTTCAGGCCCTGAGGAGACAAATAAGACTTCAAATAAATAGTGACTCGTTTTGTCTTAAGTGGTTATGTTTCACCCAGTTTGGTGGCTGTTTCCCCTGTTTGAATTTTGATTATTTTTCGAGACAGCCCCCCAGTTTAACAGCTTAAGGTTTATTGATTGATTGATGTATAGTCAAACCTCTTTAATACGGACACCAAAGGGACAGAACTAATACTGAGTGTCCGCATTACAGAGGTGTCCGTATTATAGAGGTAGGGAATATATGTTTTTTTTTGGCATTTCTGGGACCAAACGAACTGTCCATAATAGATCGAAGAAATTTCTACGGAGATCTCTGGTTAAAGATCAGCAAGCTATCGGCGAGCGCCAGTGAACAGGCACAAAAAGCCAATCAGTCCAAACTTGTTTAGCAAGCTCATTAGCATAAAAATGTTTGGCCTTCGGGGCACGTAAGGAACACTACACGGCTATACTTGTATCTTGCCGTATTTTTGTTTTAAGGAAGGTTCTTACAAAAGTATCAGACTTAGGTGAGAGGAGATTTGAATAGGCGAACGAGAGTGGTGGGGGGGGGGGGGGGGGGGGGGGGGGGGGTGGGGAGTGGGGGCCAAGGGGGAAAGAAAGGAGGGCTTTTCCCCCCTTTTTCTCTTTCTCTCGGCGTTGGCGACGAACTAGCAAGAACTCATGGTCGGTTTTGTTGTTTGTAGGGAGGATGTTGCAAAGAGAGTGAGTGGGTGGGGGGAGGGGGGGGGGGGGGAGGGGGGGGGGGGGGGGGGGGGGGGGGGGGGGGGGGGGGGGAAGGTTGGGAGTTGGTTCCAAGGGAGAAAGTAAAGACGGCTTTTCTCCCCTTTTTCTCTTTCTCTCGGCTTTGGCATAGAACTAGCAAGAACTCATGATCAGTTTGTATATTGTACCCATGAGGTTAAGGGAGTAGAATAATATAAGAGGGAAATATATACATATATATTCCTCTTTTTGGAGGGGCTCGTACTGACCGTACTTTTGTTCACCGTGAGAGGATTAAGCGGACACTTGTCAGAATCGAAGCACACGGGGAATTTCCCGAGCAGAGATCCCGACATGGTATCTAGTTTTGGACGAGACACTGAATTACGCGCCTCGATCAGTGTAGTATACGTCGATGTAGTTCCATCTTGTTAAGAGATGGTCTCCTAAAGTTCTTCCTATACTGTGATTATCCGTACCAAACACAGCGAACTAATTCAGCGAGATGAGACCAAGTCGTCACACCCAAAAGTTGTCCCGGTCGCTTACGAGATGCTCCAATTATATATTAAGACTTTGACTGGGTAAATTTTGGTGTTTTGGACAGGTGATCTCACATAGAGCTTCGATTTTATGTACCTAAGATTAATGAACTGAAACGATATATTTTCTTTCATTTTTAGAAGGAGAATCATGCAGAAAACAAACATGGAAACAAGCGATCCAATGATCAAGCAAAAATGCAGCTCTTCGAGTGTCACGCCAGTCTTCAAATGGAAAGTGCTTACTATCGTCTTCATCGTGATTAGCGTTGCACTGCTTATTGCTTTGATAGTAGTAGCCACAAAGCAGACCAAACCCAAATCGGCAGATTCAGGAGTACATACAAAAGCCACAGTACAATTATGCGCAGATGGAATGTCGAATCCGACTAAGCCACCGAAGTCCGCAGGTGTGTTTGACGACCTTACAGTCAAAGAAATTGCCTCTGTTAGAGATTATCTTTTGATGCAAGCAGAACTCAACCTCACCAGTTATTTACAAGCTACTCTAAACAGCAACTACATCTATCTTATACAGTTGCTGCCTCCCTCAAAAGATGAAGCCCTTGCATACTTGGATGGAGATGGCGCCAAGCCTGAAAAGAAAGCTATTGCGGTCGTATTTCACGGTGCTACTGACCCACCAGTGGTAAGGGAATATGTTGTCTCTCCTGCCTCTGATCCAAATAAACATGACATCAGAAGAATTCCTGGAAAGCAGAGAAATTTTGTGCCATTCAATGCTCGCCCTTTCGACGCCTTCGTAGAGCACACTGCTCTGCATTCGGCAGTCTTGAATGATGCGTGCTAAACTCCCAAAAAGCTAATGGCAGAAAGTTACGATGGCTTCTCCTACAATGATTGTGCCGAAAAGTGCATGGAACCTGTTACCATCTCACCGATGGGTTTTACGGGTGAAGATCGATTCTCGTGGATTTTTTTCACTCGCAAGGTTACAGGCCAATACACTTATCCCCTTGATCTTCAGCTGTTAGTTGATCACTCAGGCGTGGATGCTACAAAATGGAAAATCCTGAAAGTCATTTACAACAATCAAACGTTTGATTCTGTTGATGAGTTGGTGAACGAGTACAACAAAGGCACTATAAGCAAAATCAAGATACCAGCACCAAAGGGGAAAGGTTCACTATTTTCAAGCTATGAGCGCAGAGGAGATCCCCAACCAGTCAAGCCTATGCGAGGCCCTGAGATGTATGAGCCTGACGGAAAGAGATACACTGTCAGTGGACGCCACGTTAACTACATGTCTTGGTCCTTTGATTTTAGAGTGGATTCCAACTTTGGCTTGCAAATATACGACATAAAATTCAACGGAGAAAGAATCATCTACGAGCTCAGCATTCAGGAAGCCGCGGCCACGTACGGCGGATACTATCCAAACCCTTCCTGGAACAACTTCCTTGACGGTAATTGGGGAATGGGTAAAAGTAGCTTTGAGTTGGTGCAAGGCGTGGACTGCCCCTATACTGCCACTTTCTTCGACTTAGTGCACATGATGGGATCTCCAATACCACTGACATTTCACAACGCTGTCTGCGTGTTCGAGCTGAACACTGGAATGCCCTTGCGACGACATTATGATAATAATTTTGTGGGGGGCTACCGCTTCTATGGTGGAATGGCCGATCAAGTGCTCGTTTTACGTACAATTTCCACTGTATACAACTACGATTACGTGTTCGACTTTATCTTTTACCAAAGTGGTGTCATAGAAGTCAAGGTTTCACCATCTGGTTATGTCTGGGGTGCATTCATCGACTCTAGCACTGATCCATACGGGTATAAACTTTACGAACACTTGACTAGTGGCACACACGATCATCTTTTCAACTACAAGGTTGACTTAGACGTCGGTGGAAGAAAGAACTCTTATGAGACAATTGAGATCGGAATAGAAAACATCACAGAGCGGTGGTTTCCCAACAAACGGCGTGTCCAAAAGGTCCTAAAGCGCAGCGTCAAAAACACGGAGTTAGACGCCGCTTATAAATTTAACTTTGATACTCCAAAATATCTGAATTTCTTTAATGATGCAGAGAAGAACAGGGTGGGCGTGAAGAAAGGATATCGCATACAACTGGGAGGAATACTGAAACAATTGTATCCTGAAGACTGGATGATGGTATCCATGATGAGTTGGTCTCTTTACCAAATGGCTGTCACAAAATATAAAGAAAATGAGACGCAAAGCAGCTCCATCTATAACCAGAACGCCCCTGCAGATCCACAGGTTAGTTAGACTGCAAAACAGTCCGTATTTTTACGTATTCAAGTACGCGCGAGCAGTCAAACAAAAAGTCTGGTACGAGGCTGAAAACAGAGAGCGAGACTGGGGAGAGACGCAAAAATACGGGTTTTTTTCTGTCGTCTCAGGCTCGCGCGCTTCGCGCGCGTCAGACTATCACGCTACCCTTTACCGATTTCTTTACTGATTTTAAGAAAAAAAAAAAAAACAGACTGTTTTGCAGTCTACAGGTTAGTGAAGGGGAGTGGGAGGGAGATTGTACAAGAAGCAGTGTCATATTATCCCTGAGGCTGTACCTCTCTCAAGCCTAGGTCACAGTTTGTATAGTTATTTAGCTATTTATAGATTTATCTTTCGCGCAAAAAACTCTTACAGAATCAGATTAGTGTACGATCTCTATCAGTAGCAGATGAGATCAGCAAGGTGACGAGCAAAGGACTTGACAAAAGAGCGGTTATCTAGCAGATCAACTGCCATATTGAATTGTGCGGACGTTTAAGAATACAGTTTTTAAATTAAAAAATAGACTTAAGGTCTTAAGTGCCGTGATACTCATTAGACGTTTCGTGGTGATGGGCTCTTCAATGGCAAGGACCAAAAACTTTGGCGACTGAGCTCGTTTCATCATTTCTTAAGATCTTCACTGAATTCATTCCATCCTAGCCTCTGTCATTTTTCCTAGAATGTTTTTAACGTCTTCTTCAATAGAAAATTTGATAATTGCCAAAATTTTTATCCCCACAGTTGGATTTCCGTCAGTATCTTTTGGATAACGACTCCATCTTGAACGAGGATCTAGTTGCCTGGGTGACCGTCGGGGCGATTCATGTGCCACATTCAGAAGATCTTCCTAACACGGCAACAGCTGCCAACTCGGCCAACTTCTTCATCAGACCTTTCAATTACTTTGATGAAGATCCTTCTATTGGATCCACTAATGCCTTGCTGATCACACCTACAATGCAAGGTGGTCAAAAGGTGGAACGTTATGGTACTCCAGATGGTCCGCAATGTGTACCCAAGGAAAACAAACTTGATTTTGATGGTCACTATTTTCGTTTTTAAATCGTATTGAGTACCTATATCTCTTGCTTCCAGTATTTTAATAAAAAGTGTGCGGGTACCTTGTTCACTTCAAATATTAAAAAAAAAAACGTTTTAAAAAAATATTTTTTTATATCTTTGTACACTTTGATTGCTTGTTTTAATATTTTTTGGACCGAAGATGTTTCTTTGTATCCGCGATTATGCTATTATCGTTCAGTACTGAAGCCATATTGAGCGACCTTGTTGTTATTTTTTCCAATATTCCCGACCTGTGCGTGTGTGTGTCTTTTCAATTATATTTTGTCCATACGTGTGCAGTCGAAAACATCGCCATCAATAACGTTCCATTAAAGTCGATAAAAAATTTATCAACTGTATCGGAAATCGATAGAATTCCACAGAGGAAAAATTGTGACCGAACAGTGCGAGGTAGAATCAGTTATTTCTATTATGTTACGTTTCCTTCATTTTTATCTCCTTACCAGGCTGTCGATTTTAAATGTAACCCTTTCGTTAGAATGTTGAGTTATTTTGTCAAATAAATCTCGAAGCAAATGTAATCCCCAAAAGCAATACAGTAATTTACTGATGCCCTTATACATAACACAAGAATCGAAAATCCATACGTTAAACTAATATGCTTTCGGACTCGCATATGAAAGAGAATGGAAATCTCATTGCCTGTTTTAGTACTGGTCTTAAGCATGATTGATTCCCAGATTGGTGCCCACTTTTTTGGCGAGCCAGTCCTCGTAACATTCATACGGGAATATGAGGGGCCATGCAAGACCCTCTGATTTCTGAGTCAGTGTAATGCGATGCAATGTCTTTTTCACCAAAAGAGAATTCATGTATCTCCCATAAAGTGCTAATTCCTAAGATGCGATCATCCCTCTCATAAAGCTCAAGCAACACTCAGAGTTGGAAATCACCTTGAGAAAGAGTATCAGTGGATTTGTCATTTACATTTCTTACTTTGGCGGTTTTCAGCTTGGCTCTCCGAGAAACTGCTTAGTCAGATATTCTAAAGTAATACCTAAATTTTGCATGAAATTTGTGACGGAATTCCTTTGCCTTAAATCGCATGATCCGAAAAACTGTGAAAACTTATTATGATACTTGCTACTGTTAAAACGTTTCAGGGTTTATTGTACGTAATTTCGACATGTTCAAGTCAAAATGTCATTTAAACCTCAGCCACTCGGTTATTCGCTCCTTTGCGGCCATACCTTTAGCCCATTTTGTTTGCAACCTTTTCAAGGCTTGATTTGGCACGAACCGCGCGTAGACAACATTCATGTCACGCGGTTGGGCAAGAGGTAGGTCATGCCCGCCGTGATGTCAAGCGTCTCACACGACAAGAAAGAATTGCGTGACAGCTTTTAGCTGACCTTTGCAGGGATAATTCAATATTTCTGTTTATGTTTGCGTCCTATACTCTTTTACAGATGTAAGGTTAAAAGAAATATTCACCTTTGGATTGCATCTGTCCCTACATTGGGAGATTTGCAACTAACCGCAAAGAGAAAGTACTGGTAACTTGTCACCATTTCCCCCTCTGTCATGTCTTTATGTCATTCATTCTGGCCGCAGTAGTGTGGCGGTCACAGTGCTCTGTTCAAAAAACAAAGGAAAAGGGGATATATCAAGTGAATTTCACGAATTTTCAGTATTACGATTAATTGCTGTGGAAATGTCGAATCCGGAAGTAGCGCCGACCAAGCGAAAAGCAGAGCTTGAGAGCTGCGGTGATGAAAATTCGAAAAAATCGAAGACAGATTCATCAACGCCGCTTGAGTCGCCGGGTCAGGAAAATTTCCCGGAGGAGCACTTAAAGGACGAAACCTTAGCTGACACAACATCCGAGGAGGCCACAGAGAGCGACGAAGTCCAGGTTAGGTGGATTTAGAGCAATTCCATGAGACGGCGCGTTCTTGGCTGATTCATGGAGATCGAATTTCGTTTGAAGGGTTTTTATACGGCCAATGCGACTAATGGGTTAAATATTCTAGGAGATGTAATTATTTTGGATTAATGTTAAATTACAGCGGACCATGATGGACAGAAAGATGTAAATTCAGTTTCATTTATGGTTTTGCTCGTGATCGCAGTAAGATTTATTTTTCAAGTGATTTTGTTTAAATGACAGTTTTTTCATGCAAATGATCCGTGGCACGGACTAAAGATCGGGCTGCATTCTATCTTTTGTCCTGTTGTTTCCGGTTCTTTCTGGGAAAAATAATTTATTTGAGGCGAAAAGATCAATGGAAATTGATAAAAGAAAATTTGAGTCCATTGACAGCCGAAAATGAGTAAAGTAGAACGTTGATAGGTCTTGACATTCAGACTAGCCACAAATCAATAATTGCAGCGGCCTTTCGCGGGAAATCAACATTTTTGGACGATATGAACAAGCTGTAATAATATCAGTTTTCGCTTTTTGCGGTTTTGTTAGAAAATGTCTGAAATAATGTCTTGTTACTCGATGTGAATCACGTATTCGAAGGAAACTGGAATGAAAGTTGCTTTACCAGAGGGCTATAGCACAAGAAAGATTAAATCGTAAAAACATGTGTGGTTTGAAGCTCTTGGTAAAAAAAAAAATTCTGTAAGCTTTACGATGTTTTTTCAACAGATGATGATTGAAGGAAGGAACTGGTAATTGATACTGTTGATCGGATTGAAGGAAAAAAATATAACTTTTCAACCAAATTATTCTGCACCACATGAGGGATTCAACTTCAACCCAATTTAATTTGCAAATTTTCTTTGTCTTTCACTTCTATTTTTAAGATTTTGAAACAGAAAAAGTTCATAAAAATGTCAATAAGACAGCTTTTAACGAAATTATTTGCCTTCATTATTTGAGATGAATAGATTAAAAAGTCCATGGCTTCATTTTAGGATAGTGAATTGATGGTACTATGAAGATTTCAGCACACACTACAATTTAAGTACCTGTCAATTGTGTTGCTTATAGCAGACAATGTATTTCAGAATATTACTAACTACCTAAGTAATAAATTGCTTCCTGGTTTGCAGGCAATTTAATAAACTATTGTGTTTCTCAAAGAAAAGCACATGTTAGGTTGAGGTTAAACTTGTAAACTTCGGTCAAAAAGGAAACATTTAAAGCAGAGTTGTTGTAATATCTCATGATGTTCAAGGTATTTAGTCAGCTGGATTTCAAATTTGTGAATTTTTTTATTCACAAATTGAATGTTATTGTATTCATGTGATAATTCTTTTCAATCGTTACATCTTTGATCTCCAGAAAGAGCTTATAAGAATATAATTATCAATTCAGATAGATAGATTTTTTTAGGAATAGACAATGGATAGTGATTTTTGTGTAGTGATACATGGGCTTTAAAATTGCTATCAGAGGTAAGTGAATGCAGTGGGTGGGATTTCTGGGATGTTTTGTAACAGCGTCTTCTGATATTTTATCTTTGTTTTTACTACAGAAATATTTGACAAGTACTGCCATTATCAAGAAACTCTATCTTTTACTTCTTGAGATAATTTCCGGAGAAATGAAATATTAATTGGTCTAATATTAACTTAAGGTTGTGTTTTGATCCCAAAATTAATCTCTCCAAATTACACTCTAGATCTATTTTTGGGTTCATAAATTATTGTTGTTTTCCTTTCTCCTTGGTTTCTCTGATTAAATATTTGCGAGTTTATCTTATTGTCTTATGGTATTAGGGTCAGTGCAATTATTTCAACTGGGAGGGGGGGGGAGGGCTTGAAACGCACGCTAGAGACACAAGTTTGTTGGAGGGAGAGTCTTGGGGAGTCCTACCACAGAAAATTTTGAAATCTAGAGGCACGGAAATGTTATTTTCAATATTCTCAATAAGATCTTTACTGAGCTGCCTGTGGTTCAGCCCAGTTATAAAATGGGCTTGGTTTTTCCTTCTGGCACAAACCACACTCTGGTGTGTTCAGTGCATGTGCAGGATATGAGAGTACACATAGAATAGGTCAGTGGACTTCAGCAGAGTACATTTTATTAGGGAGCTCGAAGCGAATCGAAGCTATAGGCAATCTATCTTTGGTGGAAGCATAAGAATTCCAAAAATACGAATGTAAATGCTGTTGATGGTAAGCCCACAGTAAACTCAGTTTTGTATCAACCATCAATAACATTGGAATTATCAATCATATATTTATAGTCTCAGTTCAAACAGTTTAAAGAGACCTGTGGGTTGGGGTGGTGTCTGGCATGGGACTGGATTTAGAAGGGTTACTTCTTCCTTTCATACGCTGTCAGCTGTCTGTTGTGGTAAACTTTTTGTTTCCATACAAATTATACATTATTTCTATCTAGTCTAGGTTTTATGGCAGCCCAGTGTACACCTTCTGGTGTCTAGTTCTTTGAAAGGGAAGGTACTCCTAGTGCTTACAGCATGTACCTTATTCTTAATTACAAATAAACCATTTTTCTCTAGAAGATTACCTTCCCTCCCTGCTCCACTGTCCCTGCAGACTTTAATAATGGCTTGGGTCAGACTAACACCTTTACATCATCCCTAGGAGTTTTATAAAGATGTATAGGGGTTTTGATCCAGTCTGTTCCGATCCAGATTTTGACGGTTAAAAAAATCTTAGTGTTGCAGATGAGTGCAATCACCAAAATGATGTTGGTAATACAAAAGATTTAAAAGACAGTGAAGAATACCCATAATGCAACACAAAAGTGAACCGGCAATGGTTTGCACAACACCGAGAAACATCCAGATTTTGTTATAGCATTTTAAATAGGAGACAAAAAGGGTAGTTTAACCTCACATTTTTTATGTGTACGCTATCATTGGTCTTTGAAGTATTTAAATATAGTCCACTGAAGCAGCACTATACAAATCATGATTAAATTTGCTTTTTTGCATCTAATCTTAAGTCAAACACAGAAGCTGTGAGCACATGTGGTAGGCTTCTTATTAGTGGTGGAACAAACTGGGACATGATTGGACGAAAAGAGGTCCCAAAATCTGGAGGTAGGTGGATATAAACTAATGTTTGTTCGTTCTTCAAGTTGGCAATCTTCCAACTTTATTTTTAATCAAAATAATACAGAACTCTCAAAAAAATTATATTTTCTTGATGTTTTTAAATGCAATAAATTTTACCCTTTACATTGCATGTGTGTATTTATGCTGTATAAGTACTACATATATGCGATCTTTACTGTTGAGAAGTATTGACTAATGAAGTGGATTAAAATACTTAAAAATCAAGAGGGTAATCTTGACCTTTCAAAATATACAGTGTGTAACTGTGTTTTGTCCCGTATTCCACTGAGCCCTGTTGTTAAGGAAACTGGACTTGACCAAACCTTTGGTTGTACATGTAATATTACTGTATCAGAGGATGGTAATTTATGATTGCATGGTTGTTCTCGTAGAAAACCTGAAGGGAGCTTAATACTATGGACCTGTGAAATCCAGGGTACCCTAATCATAGGATTTCTTTAAAAAAAACAACTAAGATTTCCTAGTCACCAAAAAGCAAAAGTGTGGCACCAGGGGTCACCATGTGCTGCCATAGTATGCCACAGCTCTGGTATTTGATTGATTTATAATAATAATAATAATTTTTTTGTGAAGTACATATAGATTTTAACATTGATTACGAGGAATCATTAGGCTGCTAAATTTCCACGGCTGCTGTTACTTTTGATTTTAATACAGCAAATGCTGGAGGGCCTAACTTGTGGGAACCACACAGTATTTCATCATTAAACAACATCAGAGTCCAGCATGTGGCATCAGGACCTAGTGCTTGTCACAGTATTATCATTTGCGAGGGTGGAACCATCATGAGTTTTGGTATGTGGTGTAGGGTTAATAATTAATTTTTTTGCTGATATTGATTTAAGTTTGCCAACCCCAAAGTGTAGCACGTGCTATTGCAAAATCATCATCATCAACATTGCCATCATCATCAACATCATAATCACCAACGCCACCATTACCACCACCACCACCACCACCACCATAATCATCATCATCATCATTGCCAACACCACCACCACCACCACCACCATAATCATCATCATCATCGTTAGCACCACCACCACCACCACCACTACCATAATCATCATCATCATCATCATCTCCACCAACACCAACACCACCATCACCGTCATACTCATCATCACCATCATCTTCTTCACCGGCACCACCATCGGTCCCATAAGCATCATCACAGTTGCCAAAAGCGTCAGCAGCTACATCACGNTTCTTTTTGTTAGGTCGTAATGACAAAGGTCAGCTTGGCCATGGGGACACAATCCGCTGCAATAAGCCAAAGGTCATAGAGAGTTTAAAGACCTACACTTTTGTACAGGCCAGTTGTGGAAAGGCACACACTTTGGTCCTTACAGGTTAGGAAAAGTTGCTAAAGGAGTCAAAGCTTATCTTCGGGTTATTGTTTCTTGGTTTGTTTCATATTACATGTAAATTATTTTATTTTTCAGCTGAAGGCATCTTGTTTGGTTTTGGAGACAATAAAATGTCACAGCTGGGCCAAGGTCATCAAAAGCCCATTATGCCGAAGCCTGTCCAGGTACAGGATACCCATCTAATTTAATCATTTTGGTTAAACAGAAACGCAGCCTTTCACCATTATGGTCCGCCTTCGACTTGGCCCAGTTTTCATACCTTTCTAGTTAAACTTTACAACACTTCCAAATACCAATTTAGATTTTAGTGCAGAAACACTCATTGGAAAAGTTCAGCTTAAGAGTTCTCAGGTGTTTCCTGGCTGAGTTTTAGACGCTACCTACATTTTAGTAAAATCCAATTAGTGGCCTGGTCTATTATCAATGCTGCGGTCTGATTGGTTGAGCTACTACTAGGCTATATGTTATAGCGAACTAGTAGCGAAAAGCGCCGGCTTTTTGGCGGCAAAAAAGGATTAAAGTCTAGCTTTAACTAGCTAAAGTTGTTTTGTCTCGATATTTTTGACCAACTAGTTGGATTTTACTAAAACAATTATTCCTCTCGCCCTCTTGGCCTCTGAGTCAATAGCCCATTCGGGCTCGAGGAATAATTGTTAATTAACTGTGCTGAAATGACTCGTTCTACAGGAAAAAGTTTCCGTGTGGTATTTGCGAAGGCAAAATGCAATAAGATGTAGAACACTGAAGCAGTCGGGAGCTTGCAAGTTAATTAAATATTGGCAAAGATTTTTATCTGTAATTTTCTTCCCTTTTTCCTCACGTAACAGATTGTTCATCCAGGAAACAAAAAGATCATCAAAACAGCTTGTGGTGCTGAATTTAGCATGTTTATTGACGAAAATAACTTACTCTACTCGTTCGGTCGCCCTGAATACGGGCAGCTTGGACATAACACAGACGGGCAGTACTTTGTCACGGCCAATAAGTTGGCCTTTGACTGCGAGGTTCTTCCTCGGCACGTTGCTGTCTTTGTGGAGAAGACAAGAGACGGCTTGACGCACGTTTTGGATGATGTCAAGATAGTAGATGTATGTTGTGGTAATAATCACACGGTAAGATTTTTCCCCTTCCATACAGTCGATTCTGTCTTACGCCTCGTTCACACGTATTTGAATATTTTTGAAAATGAAGATTTTTTCTCCGTTGAAAAAAAACGCGTCCATACTTACCGTATTTGAATCCTTTACTCCCGTCCACATGAAAACGTTACTGAAAACGACAGAAATACGGTAGCGACCCTTTCAGAGCATGCGCCGTATGATGTATGATATCATCCTATTGGAAAATCTCCGTTTTCGTCCGTCCGTACGAAAATAAATCTGGTATTTTTGTTGCTCAGTCGGTGAGTCGTTTGACAGGGTAGAAATGGCGATGTTGTCACCAGCAGACGATCTAAAAATAGTGTGGTCCTCAGTTAGCTCTGCGCGCTCAAAACATTGTACTTTACTGAAAAAAAACTTCTCGCTGTTTTGGCCCTATAAGCGTTTGTCAATTGTGTAAATTTTTTTTCCAGGTTGCAAGAGACACTAAAGACAGGGTATACACTTGGGGATTTGGAGGTTACGGCCGCCTTGGTCATTACCAACAAAAAGACGAACTGGTTCCTAGACTCGTGAACTTCTTCAAAGGAAAAAGTAAGTATAAATATTCATTTTTTGGAGATTTCTCTCTCAGGGAAAGGGGACCCTAAGAACTCGCCAAAATCACCGGGTAGAAAAAGAACCGGAAGAGAATCAAGTCTTTTTTTCGAGTTTACGCGAAAATACTGTCAACATACACACTGAACCTCTTGTACCGCAAACTATTAACTTAGTTATGTGACATTGTTTCAATATAATACAGCAGTTGTTCAAAAATTTAGATTTGACTTAGCTGACTTGATAGAGTAAGTTGTCCACATTAGTACAATTAGCCTGCGAAAACATCCGTTTCTCCTCGCTCTTCGCCGCTGGGGACGTTTCGAAACGTCCCCAGCTACGAAGAGCGAGGAGAAACGGATGTTTTCGCAGGCTATAGTACAATCCAAAATGCAGCTTTTCAAGCCTTAGCTCTGTCTCGGTAGGGTATTTGAAGATGCAAAGATGCCAGCTTTTAATCCACTGTACAAAAGCCAATGTATTTTATCTATTTATGTGATGAAGGAAAATTTTTGCGTTAGTTCAATCACAGGTCGAGTTAGCCGCAGGAGCTGTGTGACAAAATTTATCAAAATTCAAACAGAACGAACGGCCACCGAATTGAAAGAAACATTAAACAGGGACACCCAACGATGGTTTCCTCCTAAATACATTGAAAACACTTTTTAGGCTATCCAGAGTACTTTTAGATATCTAGAAATGCATTCTAAGCGGTGCTATAAAATTTGTATCTGTTCAGTCATCCGAGGGAAGCTTGAGTCTTTTCGAAATTACAAGGTCTTGAGTATTATTTTTCCGAAAATTTTAGATGAGGTTTGACGTACTACGAAAGAGAGACATTTTATTATATGAGGCGTTTATTTGGAAGTGGGCTTTTATTAGGTCACTTACGGTAACTGCTATTAAAAACAAAATGAACAAGGTACCCTTGACAGTCACACAGCCTCTTTAACCTTACCCGACATCTTTTTTAGGTGTTTCATCTGTTCATGCTGGTTCCACATACAGCATGTCGGTCTGTGGGGTAAAGAATTCTCAGTTATTTTTCTGGGGTCAGACTAAGAGTACAGGTGATGCGACCATGTATCCTAAGCCAGTTAGCGATATGTGTGGCTGGGATGTACGCAGTGTTGGCTGCTCGTAAGTATCCAGTAATTTAATATTTTGCACTCATTGTCCCGCCTTGAATTAGGAACAGCCTTGCTACTGTAGCTGCGGGCAATGCTTCTTTAATATCATCTTTGTATAGTTGTTGTTTTGTAACCATAACAACCTGTAAACTTGTTGAACAATAGAAAGATTAGTCAGGTTTTCTACCTATCTGATTGGCTGAAATTCCCCTGATTATTCTTCACAACCAGCTAGCGTTTACCATATTTGGAAGACGTTTTCCGATATCAGTACAATTTAAAATGGAATGGAAGGCGCGGTAGCGCAGCGTTTTGGAAAGGCTGGAGAAAATGGCGGATGATAGAATTTGTCAGTATGAACGCGGTGTCCGTATTAAGCGGGTTGAACTTAGAGAACATGAACCGTAATAATGAGCTGTCCGTATTTAACTGTATTACAAAACTTTATCCAATAATTGTTTATTATTTTAGATATTAGGCTGATTTAGCAACAGGACGTGAACGTCAGTTGACAACGGCAAAACGCTTTGAAAGGACTAAACACGACTTCCGGTGCCCAGTTTGCCGTTTCTGCCGTTAGTCAAGCCATTGTTTAATTCGTGCGCGCCGTCGTCAACTGACTTTCCCGCTCTGTTGCTAAATCAGCCTACTTTACTTGCGGACAGCCCCCCCCCCTCCCCCCGCCTTCCCTCCCTATTCTCTCCCTATCTGGTCGCGCTTTCTTCAATACCCCCCAAGAGACCTTGTCCACCCCGGGTCCCCGGGCACCATGGGACGTAACGTGATGAACCCGGTAATTTACCTCCCTCTCTCCCGGATTCAAACCAAACCGATATACTCAAGTGTTAAAGAGGGGAATTGTTTTCAGGGAGGGGGAGGGGAGGGGAGGGTTCAAGGAAGAGGGTGGGGTTAAATTGATGGAGCCACTTAGCAAATCAGCTTTTTCATCCGAAAATTAAGAATGAGAGTCAAACTTTTCCTGCTCAACTTGACAGCGTCAGAAGCGATTGGTGCTTCATTTGTAAAGGAATTTTCCGTGTATCCAGCATAAGCGCTAGACGAGCATTTTCTTTTCTTCTCCCCTCGTCTCGCACTGTGCGCTCGTTTCGTGCTTCACGCAAAATGCCGTGTTTTCCTCGCTTGGTTCATAAAGCGACTGTTATGCAGGCTATTTTCTGTGTCACTCCTCGTGAACAGGTTTTGATGCGTACCCCTGGCCAAATGATGAAACGTAACCTATGAGATTTTTTTTTTCGATAGCAAAACGAGTATTGTTCTCGCCGCAGACGATAGCGTAGTCAGTTGGGGACCGAGTCCTACTTACGGAGAACTGGTAAGAAGCTGACGTATGTACTGAATTAGTGTTCGCTTTTTACAGTGGTCCACTGACCGCAGCAGGAGAAGCTCAGTCGGAAGAACACTTGTCTAAAGAGCGAGAGGTCGCGGGTTCGTTTCCTGGGGCCGGACCAATACTCAGGGCCTAAAATATGTGGGAAATGAAGGTACAGCCTTCGCCCTGCAAACGGCTAAACCTTTTTGTGGTTCGGATGACCACGTAAAATGGCGTTTTCTTCTGCACAAGAAGATGGAAAAATTGAGTTCCCTTATACTTTCGTGCGTAACATATTGAGACTCTTTTTTATTCAGTAGAAATTAAGCATAGCTTTCCAAACCAAGGGAAAGAAAGTCATCAACTGTTAACCGTCTAAAGAGTTTTGTTCTCTGATAGCGCAGAGCCTATAGTCCGTCACGCAATCTCTCCTTCTCGTTGGGAAAGAAAAGATTACGTGACGTGCCAAAGGAATGCCTCCATGGGAGGCTATGGAACCTTTAGTTTGGCGGGGTGCTTTTAGTAAGAACGCATCTCCATTTAGGGTACACAAACGTCCATCGGAGAAAAAAGAAAAACTTTATCTTGAGGTCTCGAATGCTGTTGTAATCTCCTAGCGTGCAGTGATTTTTGGACTGTGTCACAGCAGTACTTACCAAGCTTCCCATATAACGCCCTTACTTATGATAAAGGCTGTCTGATTATTTAAGCAATAGACAACACTTTCTATGGGTTTACCGGTGTGATAACGCATGCGGGATGTTGAGAGAACACGAGAAAAGCTTGTTTACAAGTAGGTTATCACGCCGGTAAATCACCATAGGCTTTTAACCAATCAGAACAGGCGTACCATCTTAGTTATTTTATAAATAGAAATATATTCTCCCTTTTGCGGAGGAACTGTCACTTGTAATGATAATGGCTGCATTCTTAGTAGTGAGTATTTGTTTTTTTCTCAGGGATATGGACTTAGAAAAGGAGGGCAAAAATCATCAACAAACCCTAAGATTGTAGAACCACTGGAAGGCATCTACGTTCAGGAAGTAGCGTGCGGTTATGGCCATACATTGTACATAGCACGTGATGAGGAAACCGATTTACCGTTACTGAGCAAACTCCCAGTGTACGATCCTGACAAGGTAAGGGTCTTTTTCATAAACCTTTAACCTTCATATCAAAAATTAAATTCTCATTGTTGTCTGTATACGTTTCCCATCGAGGAAGTGAGGAGAAGTTGTTGAAGTATCAATTGAATTCATCCTGTGTGATCATCTCCTTAATTCTTGTGACCACTCTGTTTTATAAAGCAGTAATATTACAAGGAGAAATTTGCTGCCGATCACTCTTAAACTTTAAAGGGTTAAGCCTTTGAGCACTTGTCAGAGGCACCGGGCACCCACGGACTTTTTTCTGTACAATATCTGTTCGGAGAAGCAAATATTGCCTAAAATTTTCTATTGACTGGGGACAGCTACAAATTTTCAGATGACCGTTCCATTCATGTACAGTTTTCGAAACTTATCTAATAAATTCTCTACGATTTTCTGAAGCTTAATTTTTTACATTTCACTCCCCAAGTAATGCTGTTTTGCGTAGAAAAAAACCTAAAATTTTCGGATTAAAAAATGTGATAGAGATAGGAATCAGAAAAATTCTCACATTCATAAAGCGATAAATTGCATCTAAAATATTAGGGAAAGTAATACTGAAGCCCTTAAAATTTCGGAAAGACTCAAAGTCCCCTAGGATGACCGAACAGATGCAAATTTTATAGCGCGCTTTTTCTAGAGATCTAAAACTACTCTGGATAGCCTAAGAAGTGTTTTCAACGTATTTAGGAGGAAGCCGTTCTTGGTTGCCCTTGACTTATAACTGGCCTTTACTTTTTCACACAGCTTCGCTTCTCGGGCAAATGTTTATTTTTGGGACAATCTCTCCGCCGCGGGCATTATCATCCGATACAGCAGTTGTCGGAAGGGTTTTATTTACTTATTACCCGCCAGTCTAAACACTGCTGGAGTTCAATCATAGAAATGTAAAGAAGGTCTAACTTTTGAGTCTGTGAACAAAATGCTATTGTGTGTGACCATTCATAAATTTTCTAGGCAGTTTTGGTACCATTTGTTCTTCAGTAGTACACTACATCTCAAAATATGAAATTGAAGTGTTTGCTTGAGTTTTCACTTCGGCGGCTTTTGCTAGTGAATGCTTCAAACTAGTTTACCTCCTAATTGAGGCTCGTTTTTCCTGTTTTTAGGTATGAAGAATCCATCCTTGGGAATGTTTCAAGGTTTCTCCCGATGTTCCCTCCCCTCAGAAAACCGCTGGCGGAATGGTGGCGTCAGTAATCACGTGTTAGCATGCATGCGTTCTAATTCTTGTTTACCTTTCTTTTCTCGCTCAGTACTGAGTTTTTGTACGTAAAGTTTGTACAGCCAACCTACTTACAGTGAACGCTTTAGTGAAACAGATTCCCGCCCCTTTAAGAAAGACTCCTCTTGAGCTGAAATCAATACTTCTGATCAAAAACAGGGGCACAATGAGCGCCAAGAACTCTGGGCAAATTTAGCAAAGACAACGCAACAACAATTGACGGCACGAAAGCGCTCGGAGAGGACTAAACCTGACTTCCGGTTCTCAATTTGCCGTCCTGCCATTGGTCAAGTCGAGGTCAAGTCGGATTTAAGATCTGCGCGTGCAGTCTTATCTCGTACCCAAGAGATCTGGGTACGAGGTTACGCGCCGTCGTCATAGTCGCTACGTTGCCTTTGCTAAAGATGATGACACATGGAACGATTCGCAACGGCGATTTTGAGCGCAACCGAGTGTTGCAACATAGTTGCGACATTGTTTGAATTGTCACAACATTATTCTAACATTGTTGCCCACAAAATCAACGTTGCAAATCGTCTCGTGTAAAATCTCCTTAAATCTATCAATTGCTAATAATTATAAACCGATTTTATCATTCAAGAACAAGCACTGTTCCGTCACTAAACCAAAGCGTGGAATGAATAGTTGCCATCTTCAATTTGATACAATTTGGCATGTCTAAACCTCCGAAGGTATCGAATTTTTGGCGTACCATTTGGTTGCAGTTAAAAAACCTGGTGGGATCCTGAGAAGGTGCTTTCTTGTGGTAATGGTTCGTGATGAAGACTTCCCAAAGAACTGCGGTGTATAAAATGGTGCTGTTTGTTCTCCTTTCTAAAATTGTTCTTGGAAGGAGTAGTTCTCCATGACCGTTGTCTCTTCACGCAACATTTACCATCACTGGGATAAACACTTTACAACGGCTGTATATGCAACAATTAGTAGGCTACAATAAGCAGTATTGTTTTCTAATTACTTAAATAGATTCTGATAAAGCAGAGATTATAGATTGCGAGCAGTCTCTCATTTTCTTCAGATTTAGTGAGGGGCGAGTGATCATTTTCGTGTCTCGCGCGTTTCGCTCGACGGACTAAGAAAAAAAAGAGAGACTGCTCGTAGTCTGCAGAGATTAAGTATGTGATAGCAAATAAGAAAACCCCTTTCTTCCCTAAGATCAGCTTGCTTACGTAAATGACCTAATAAACGCCTCTTATGTAATGAACGCCACGCTACACTGTTAACATTGTATTAGACGCCCTTCTCTATTAAACGCCCTCAGTGTAATAGACGCCCCCTATAAAAATGACTCCAAAATACTAAGCTGATTAGCAAGAAGGTGCAAAATCCTTCAAATTATTCAGTTTCTTGCTTGATGATGAGGCTTTGTGGATATCATCTTGTTGGAAGGTTAAAGCAAGGATAGACTGACGATGGCAACGCAATAACCCTGAGCTAGGATTCTGACATCGATGTTGGCCGGATTTGAAAGAGCGATATGGATCTCTAGACGACCTAGGAGTATCAACTGATAAAGTGGATATTCCGCTATTTCAAAACTCTTGATAATTTCGTGGAAAGCATATTAGTTTCGTTGAGCCTGTTACAGTTAAGAGAATAAGCGCGTCTCTCTTTCAAACGCTTCCCATCTATTAAACGTCCCCGCTGAGACCCCGGGCNAGCAGTCTCTCATTTTCTTCAGATTTAGTGAGGGGCGAGTGATCGTTTTCGTGTCTCGCGCGTTTCGCTCGACGGACTAAGAAAAAAAAGAGAGACTGCTCGTAGTCTGCAGAGATTAAGTATGTGATAGCAAATAAGAAAACCCCTTTCTTCCCTAAGATCAGCTTGCTTACGTAAATGACCTAATAAACGCCTCTTATGTAATGAACGCCACGCTACACTGTTAACATTGTATTAGACGCCCTTCTCTATTAAACGCCCTCTGTGTAATAGACGCCCCCTATAAAAATGACTCCAAAATACTAAGCTGATTAGCAAGAAGGTGCAAAATCCTTCAAATTATTCAGTTTCTTGCTTGATGATGAGGCTTTGTGGATATCATCTTGTTGGAAGGTTAAAGCAAGGATAGACTGACGATGGCAACGCAATAACCCTGAGCTAGGATTCTGACATCGATGTTGGCCGGATTTGAAAGAGCGATATGGATCTCTAGACGACCTAGGAGTATCAACTGATAAAGTGGATATTCCGCTATTTCAAAACTCTTGATAATTTCGTGGAAAGCATATTAGTTTCGTTGAGCCTGTTACAGTTAAGAGAATAAGCGCGTCTCTCTTTCAAACGCTTCCCATCTATTAAACGTCCCCGCTGAGACCCCGGGCGTTTGTAAGGTCATTTACGGGATGGCTCCCTCTGCTCTCTTTGTTCAAAATCAAAACACAACGGTTTGTGATCATTTCTGCTATTCTCACAGCCTTTTTGTTTGATAGCAGAGGGATACTGTAAGGAGAAATTGCATGTTGGTCGTTATTAGGTTTGAAAGCGTTAAAGAGTTGAAACAAACAATAAATTGTACATTTTTTTTATCTACTGGAAAAAGAAACACTATGAAGTAAGGTTGAAAAGAAGAAACAGCGAGAGTTTATTTATTTTGTAAAGCTCTAAGAAAATCAAATTATTGATTAAAGCGAAGATTGTTATCTTCTAAATTATGTTATTGTTATGAAGCCATGTGCAATAAAGTCATTATAACACTATGTTTGATTTTCTGCTCTGTTGTTTCTTAAAATTTCCATATTTCGCTCTATTATCAACCTCCTCTTTTGGGCTTTTAATGAACCCTACGTCATAGCCTCTGCCATGCTCTCGTATAGTAGGTAAGTAGCGAAAGGAAGACGCGCGCGATCTGTGAACGACTGCAGTACTACCTTCCCTTGGAGCCTGGAATAGGCTATTCAAGGATTTGGTTTTGAACTAGACTGCGAGCAGTCTCTTTTTTTCTTCAGTTTNACAACGGTTTGTGATCATTTCTGCTATTCTCACAGCCTTTTTGTTTGATAGCAGAGGGATACTGTAAGGAGAAATTGCATGTTGGTCGTTATTAGGTTTGAAAGCGTTAAAGAGTTGAAACAAACAATAAATTGTACATTTTTTTTATCTACTGGAAAAAGAAACACTATGAAGTAAGGTTGAAAAGAAGAAACAGCGAGAGTTTATTTATTTTGTAAAGCTCTAAGAAAATCAAATTATTGATTAAAGCGAAGATTGTTATCTTCTAAATTATGTTATTGTTATGAAGCCATGTGCAATAAAGTCATTATAACACTATGTTTGATTTTCTGCTCTGTTGTTTCTTAAAATTTCCATATTTCGCTCTATTATCAACCTCCTCTTTTGGGCTTTTAATGAACCCTACGTCATAGCCTCTGCCATGCTGTCGTATAGTAGGTAAGTAGCGAAAGGAAGACGCGCGCGATCTGTGAACGACTGCAGTACTACCTTCCCTTGGAGCCTGGAATAGGCTATTCAAGGATTTGGTTTTGAACTAGACTGCGAGCAGTCTCTTTTTTTCTTCAGTTTATTAAAGGGAAGGGCACGCGCGCGCGAGCGTTGAGCGGCGAAGCCGCGAGACGCGAGAAACGAGGGCGGCAGCCTCTCCCGTCTCCCGCCTTCAGTCACGCGCGTGGTCATTTGCGTGTCTCGGGCGCTTTGCTCGCCGGACCAAGCAAAAAGAGAGACTGCTCGCAGTCTAATTTTGAACTAAGCTGAAGTTTCTATTTGCCGTACTTGGTATCCAGTCTCATTGAATTGGCTGTGAGCAGGCTGGACACTAATGTCTTCCCAGGAAAGAATTCGACGCGATTATTTGCGGCGCACTTTCCAGAGAGTGGATTTTTTGAAGAATAAAAGGGACCTGCACTCAAGAAAACAGCATGTCTGATAGCACTTCACTGATCGTGACTGAAATCGCACGACCCTTACAGAGGAAAATCTGTTGACAAGCGCGCTCGACCGTTAACTTGGCGACGAGAAGGCAACAGCCTGAATCTGATTGGTTTTGACCGTGCGCGGGCTCTTTCTTCTTTGTGATGTCATACAGAATAAAGTCATTCGCAAAGAGAACTTCTCCTAGCTAGACGTGTTTTTTGGTTGTCCAGAGTTATTTGAACAAGTGAAGTGCTTAAACAATTTAAACGTTGAAAATGGGACAGGTGTATACCTTATACAAGTCAAAGAAAAGAGAAAGAGCCTATCGCAGAAGGTTGGTGTTTTTTTTTTTAACAAACCGATGACATTTTTGTCAGAAATTTCTCCGAATTCGCTCACATGGTTATTTTGAGTTTTATACTTTGTCTGGTATTTACTGAGTAGGGCTGAATCACTACTTTTCGCGTTTCATGTTTTCCGCGAACCCAGACTGCTGCATGCAGGTTTTCAGCAAACCGATTAGCGAAAAAACAAATCGCAAAGAATAAAATATTTATTTACTTTTTGAGACAGAAGAAGAACTTATAGTTGACATTACATTTTTTTGTACTGATACCATACCACCGGACGTATACTTGTACCAACAGGAGCTTCCATTGTCGCGGGAATAAGTGATCGAAATTACGCCTAAATTATGAGCTCCCAATGGCTGCCTAGGGCTGCTAAAAATAAATTGTCCGTGAAAAGGATGTGATATCTAGGCTCCGCACTCCAAGTTATCAGCTCTTGTGCTGGTGCTTGTTTAGCCTTGATCTGATTGGTTACTAGTCAGTGCGACGTTGTGATTGGTACTTGAAATTCAGCTTATGAGAAGGGAACTTCTCAGCAACTTCTCAGCTCGATTGAGATCATGAACAATGTATTCTTTTCGGTGAAATTTTCACTGTTGTTTAATTCCTGTCACCCAGGCGTCAAAGAGAACAGTTGGAGAAAGCAGCGGAATGCATTGTCAGACTTCATGAAGAACACCAGCGATTGAGCGAGTAAGTAAAGATGGTGTACTTTAGCACTTCTAATCGTTATTTTGCAAATCAATGCATATTCAAAGTCTTTTTTAGTAGCTGTCTTATGCTAAAATTATTGCTTTTGTCTTATTCTTTCAATAGAATGCTCCAAAATAGTTATGTGTATTACCCAGACTTACGGCCAGAGCCTGAGAACTACATCAAATGCAGCGGAACCAACGAAATGAGGGAGGAGGTAGAAGCTTTAGAGAGAAAGCTTTTCCTTGAAGAAATCGCATTCGATGTTACAGACGAGAGATGTAATTTATTGGACAGAAATTTGAGGTAAGGATTGCAGTCAAGAGAGTGTTGAACATACCAATTAAGAAACGTAATAAACTCAAAACATGAAAAAAGCCACTGACCTGAAAAAATCCAGTTATATAATTTTGCTTTTAGCTTGGGAAAAGAGAAATACGCCTTTGTATGCAAGATGATGAGTTTAGCAAATTTTCTTTTCATTCATTCTTTACTGGTGAAAGAGGCAAAGACGATAAAGAATTGAATGAGATCACGGTTCTGTTTAAGTTCCCCTAAGTTAGAAAGAAATGTGTTGGTCCAGAGCATATCAGCTGAGGTCAAAGCGGTTTTGACGGGCCGGAAACCTCATCAAGAGAGCCGGGATAAAGGTTCTTTATCTTCTCTTGGCCTCATTTATTAATTTATTACATAATAATACACCTTCAGATTTGGTGCCAGACCTGCAGTGCTCTTAAATTGGCTTCTCTCCCCCGCAGACGCATACAGACGTATAATCTAACCCCATGTTAGTCACTGTGTTAGTAAACATATGCGAAGTAGCGCTGATATACTTGTCCTGGGCCCCCAACGGACTCAACGAATCACCGAAAATGCGGTTTCAACCAGATTGACAAATATACAATGTCTCTTTTTAACAGCCAATCGTAGCAAAAGCCGTGAGTTACTTTTCGGGTGGATGAGAAGCGACAACCGGAAATATGTCTGCGTTCGCAGGCTAATTATAGCGCGTACTCAAGTCAACGGACACCCCCCATAGATGGGGACCCAGAGCAAGGATTTCGGCGCTGTTTCACAGACAGAAGTTAAGAAGTTTACAACAACGTAACAACAATCAACCATTTTATTTGCCATCTTCAAAAACGTTTACAAAAACAAAATAAACTAAAATAGATCAAGCCAAAAACTACTGAGAATAGCAAAAGTTCTGTCTGAGTTTCATCTGTGGCGCAGGCTAAGTTTTCTCCTGTTGTTATGTAAAATGTTGAAGATTTTATCTGTTGTTTCTTTTACAGCCTTCTTCAACAGAACGAAGTTAATCTCCAGTATGAATGCTTAAGCGGTCAAAACAACCTTGCTGCGTTGAAACTCAAACACGAGGCTTGTCAGTTTGGTCTGTATCAGAAAGCAAATCCGATTGAGAAATGGGCAACAAGATCACTTCCAAATCTGTATTTCACATCATTCTAACTTATACCTTGATTGATGGAGGTCATTAGAAATATGAACTGAACAAACATGGCCTCTCAATGCATTTAAGTTCATTAGAAATTTACTGATTCTAGAAATGAACTGTAGTTTTTTATTGTAAATAATTTTCGTAAATATTGCCAGCAATAAATAGATCATTAGCCACCGTTTTTTGTGTGTCCATGGCTCTGAAGGTGTTTGTTCGTGCTTTAATAAATTCAATATCTGTGGCAGCAATAACTACCAGAAGTCCTTCACTTCTGTAACCCATTTCACAAACCACCCCTGACCTAAAGTAAAGATACCGCTAACCTGTGTCCTGACCTTGTTTTCTGTTTCCCATGGACAAAAAGAGCCTATTCAAAGGACACCTCCATTCCTGAAGGGGACACAAAATTTGGTCCCGGAAAATCTTCACATAACTTTTGCATTTGTTACCTTTGTTGAAGGGATCCCTCTATCCAAGGGAAATGGACACTTGGGCTCCTTCATTCAGGGGACTGTTCCTAAGTACTCAAAAGTCACCATGACGACAGCTCTCACAACATGAACCATCTCACTTACATTCCGCAAATGGATGTACGTACTGCACTTGTGGGAATTCTACACACAATATCGCAGATTTTTTATACATTATCTAGCTGCTTGAAATAATGACTGCAGCAGATTCCCAGGCAGAATAATAATTAAAAAAACAAATTAATTATTAGCACACCCCCGGCCCAACCTCCATTATTTTAGGGAACTCCTTCTATTTAAAGGGACTGGTTCACGATAATGCGCATGCGCGCCGTTTGTCTCTTCAGAATAAATTTGTTGGGTCAACACTAAATTCGAAATCGCCATTACCGGTACAATCATTGAAAATCCTTCGTTTTATTCGGACATCCGTCGCTTTGGCTGGTCTAGTTTTACTTCGGTAGTGGTGATTAACGTGTGGTTGTGTCGTTTGACTGGTTACGTTTTAAGAAGACGCAAAAAATAATATTTTGATCATGGAGGTTCAGAAGAACATCGTGGCCGTACGGCAACAGGACGTTCTCAAGAGTCTCTGGAGATAGAGAAGCTTAGCCTATCGATTTGGTATGGTTCTAGGAGTAGTGTGTGGCATACGAAAAGAATACACGACACTTGGAAAGTGGTTAAAGGCATGAGTTCGTTCAACTTTGATTTGATTTTTGACTCCGACCTGTAGTTATACCGCAACAGGCCGCGCGATCTTCACCGATCTGGTACACTTGAAATGTTCCTTGTATCTTTGCTTTACGATCGTATATGTTTAAGAATTGATGTTTTTAAAATAAATTATTGCCTGAATATTCTGTTTATAATCTAGTTTCTTTATGTGTGCTACTCGATAACATTTGTTTTGCGGAACACTGACCCGATGCAACGCGAATGAATTTGTTCATTTGCTGATAAGCAATTGAAATTTATGCTCAATTAAGGATAATCTTTATACTCATACGTTGTGTGTTTTTGTCACCGGTCAGGCGCTATTTGTAGGTATTTCTGGGTTTATATAAGGCGAACTGAGAGAACAGTAATAAGATGTTTGTTTACAAATTTTGTTTGCCGATCGGTGACTGTTTTGTTAGCGTGGGTACGACCTCGTAAAAATACACGTTGGTAAATGTTTGTTTCAAAGCAGGACAGGGCTGTAAATCTTATTCTTATCGGCTGCAACATATATCTGAGGAGTAGCAAAGAATAAACTTGAATTATGGGGATAAATAAATTCAAACCAAATGCCCGGAAATACTCTCGCGTCGCGAACAATTAATTTGAATTTTGTAAATTTACTTGCGTGCATCTAACTCGCTTCCGATTGGTTGAAAAACAATCAGCTACTGTCAGAACTTACACATGCGCATTATCGTGAACCAGTCCCTTTAAGGACACCCGCCTCGGTCCCGAATGTGTCCCCTGAATAGAGGTTCCAGCGAAATAAGATTTTCAGGGGCGGATCTAGGGGGAGATGACCTGCTGTTTTCTAATACAACTGGTATTCTGCAAAAAAAAAAACAAAAAACTATGTGGTTTATTGTGTTGAAGTAGAGCAAGAGACGAGTGCACCCCCTCCTAAAAAAAATCCTGGATCCGCCCCTGATTTTCATCGGCATAGGATATCACTGTTTCCGTTTTGAAGCTAATTGCCCCTTAAACAGGTAGATAAATTATGTCAATACGTATCCTTTTGCTTGTAAGGGATAGGAATGAGATATTCTTTTTCTTTATGACAATAACTGTGTCTAGTAACGCCTTTTCTTGCCCCTTCAACTAAAATAATCTAACAGAAAGGTAAACTATTAAAAAAAGCAACCCGGAAACTTGAAATATGGAAATATATAAATTGCACCATCATGACTCCACACAGCTGGTCATAACTATATCGAATTCCGCTTGACGTGAGCTATGATGCAATAAAGACTAAAATTTTTGGTACGAAGCTGAAAATAGAACGTGGTTATGTTCAAGTCTTGATTGCTTCAAAGAAATGTATTTTTTCTAAAAGTGGACTTCTGTTTCTGAATTTGCCAGTCCAGTTTCCAATTCGTGCCCACGTTTTTGAGTCTAAATCTAACAATAAAAGGCAGCAAAAATTCCCGTTCCCTCTCCCCCTCGGAACAAATCACATTGCACCATCACCTTGCATTTCCAAATGTCCGGTCTGCTAAATTTTGATTGGTTATCAGAAAAAGATGGAACCAATCACAGACGAAAGTGACGTACAGAGTATGTATTGAAATGTTTTATGCATATCTTTGCGTGGTTATAAAAAGCTATCTAAAGGTTGCGATTGCAAGCGAAAGGGAAGGTTAAGGAGGAGTTTTGTGGGTCTGTTAGCGAGAAGCAGATAGAGCAACAACAATGACCGAAGAAGGGGAAGAAAATGCACCTATTTTCCTTTCATTTAATGACCTTGGTGTGAAAATCAACGATCGACAAATCCTTCAAAATGTGAGCGGGAAAGTTCACCCGGGTGAGATGCTGGCGGTAATGGGCCCAAGCGGTAAGCTAAGAACGTTTAAAAACACTTTTCTACCGTTCAATAGAATAAAATAGCCAGTTAATTGGAAGGTTATTATTTCACGTTGCTCAAATCTTTATATCATTTTCTATGGTTCATTTTCTACAGAAATTTGAAGTAATCTTATGAATTTATGATAAAGTGTGACGTAACAGATACGGTCTGCTTGATTATGGCCTCCTTTTAGCTCCTTTTTATGCGGTCTCAGGTCTGTTCGTGACCCCCGATAAACGTGGAGGAGCTTCCTCATACATATATATCCTCATACATATATATGCACGTTCCCTTTCTTTCCACAATGCTGCAAATGTTTAAAACTGCATGACTAGCTCGCCCCCGGGTAGCTCGCCCAGCTCGTTGACAAGTTCTCTACACATAGCATAGAGACAGCAGATAGAGACCATGTAACCTGAGGTCAGGCTCTATTTTCGTTTCGCTTTTTAAATAACATTCCGGCGGGCATGGCGAAACGAAAAGAGCGGTAGCAGTTAGAGAGAATGTATGAGAACCGCTCAAATTGGCCCTGATCTCAGGTTAGAGACCATGCAGCGGATTAGATTAATAGTCTCATGAGTCAGCATTATTGTAAGTGTGTCTGAATTCTTTTGGAGTTTAAGGAAACAAAATAAGCTTAGTATGTAAGCTTTTTAGGCAAATTCAGGGTGTCTCACATGCACTGAGGCAATGACCTGTTCTCTGCCACTTGCATAGTCCCTGTACAGCATCTTTCCAGGCCCTCTCGGTCAATGCATTTCGGTGACGTATCCGGATCCGCGACGAACGGCCGGGAGAACTTTCTCGGACCACGCGACCTGAAAGGCATCGGCTGCACATAATAATGAGACCTAGGGACTAGGCAACTCTACCACCATACTGGGTGGCAAAGTTTGTGTGACACTTTAAGCAATAATCTGGCACAAGTGAAGGTACATAGAAAAGGCGCATTAAAATGTGACCAGAAGGCATGTTGCAGTGGTGTGTCTGGTTTTCAAGATGGTACCCAAACTCTGGAGAGGGGGGGGGGGAGGGGGGTAGAAGGGGACTCCTTTATTTGGCCTAAACAGCAGGTGTGTGCGGCTGAACAAGGTATGGTTTTAAGACGGAATCCATCTGGAAATTGAGTAATTTCAATTTTCACTGGACAAAAACCTTGTACCTTATTTAAACAATATTGCATTCTTTTTTACATTTTTCAAGGGCTTTAGATGTAATTATTTATCTGTAATAACACCAAAGAGAGAACTCATGAGAACCCAAGAAAACAAATGAAAAATTTCAGAACAATTGTGAAAACACAGTTAAAATCTGAAAATTTCTTGTGTAAGATGTCATTTTGTGAAGTTTCGCATTTATTTTCTCAGGCTCTCATTAGAAAGTTTCTTTGGTGTTATTACAGATAACTAATTGCATCTAGAGCCCTAACTGGAAAATGTGAAAAAGAATGTGATATTGTTCAAATTATTCTGGTACAAAGTTTTCGTGCACTGATGGATTCCATCTTAAGGTTCTTGAGTTGAGTAACAGGGTATACAATTTCACTAGTGTTTTGAACAGGGTGTCTCTTTGGGCTTGAAGCCTTTAAAAGAATGTGGAAGTCCACGTTGATGTAGCCCTTTAAACTAAACCCATTATTTTTTGTTGCTGTAGACAGTCATGTACATGTAAGTTGACTTTGTAAGCTTTCTTCCCTGCTTAATTAGGCTCTGGCAAAACAACTCTGCTGAACATTCTTGCTGGAAGGTTGCTTGCTCAAGAAGGTGAAATCTTACTCAATGGGAAACAGTTGGACAGAAAGCTGAAGAAGAAAATCTGCTATGTACTGCAAGAAGATATTTTCTTTGCAAATCTCACTCTTCGAGAAACTCTTTCGGTAAAAAAGTGATCATTTTTGTTGATTAAGTATAATTATGAGTATGTCAAAATTCTTTAGGGACCAGCTCTTCTTTTCATTAATTAGTGAGTTTGTTTG